CGTATTTCATATGGGTCCACATTTGCGATGCACTCTATTTTTTTCAAGTACCGCTGCTTCGCCTCTGGACGTAATATGTCTCTATACCATCCGTTTTCTTTTGAGCTGCTTTTAAGCATGATTCTTGTCGTCGTCGTTCCAACACAGTGTTCGTTTTGATTTATGGACCCGGAAGATGGCGCCGAGCTCCCACAATACAGCGTGACGTCAACTCCAAAGCCCCATTATACTTTCTGGGTCACAAAATAAACTTTTAACATATTTTCAGGCGAGAATGTAGCTGTGTAAACTTCAAATATCTGCTCAGTTTATCAAGACATCACATATTTGCAAAAACGCTCCGACATTTTCGGAGACGTCTGTTACCCACCAGCTCGATAGCTAGAAGGTTCAAGGGTCACTAGAGCCGGTGAGAACACTGGACTCCCAGCAAATCGTTTTCAACCCCCTGTGGTGTTTCGCTACTCAGGTTAAACATGATATGCAAGTCACTCAGATAATTTAAAAATGTTATTGTTTTTTCAGTGTTTTATTTGTTCCTCAGTAAATCGGTTTGGCTGAGATTAAAGTTATAGTTTTTACACAGCTGAATAAACGTCAAACAGAGAACTGATTAAACAGAAGTGTGAGATGGTAGAGAATTTACTCCAGTGTCCTTTACATGGAAAGAATAGACGGCCGAGTTTATTAAACTCCACCGAGACAATCTGCAAATTTTGTTAAACGTTTAATAAACTATCATCTTGTCTTTACTTTTAGTTAGCACATACCTTAAACACTTAAAGCTGTACGCTAATAGTTATATAAGAGTAGATGCTGCTGGTGCAATAAGCTGTACGTTTTACATCCAATAGACGCATGACCTGATTAGTCAACTAATCGCAAAAATAATCGGTGACTAGTCGACTATCAAAATAATCGTTTGTGGCAGCCCTAATTCCCACCACACTCCTCTTCTCAATTCTCCACCTCCTTCATCTCTGATATTTTACCTTTGAGTCCAGGTCTCCTTTCCATTTAAGGATGGCCTGAAACGTGGACAGCCGGGTCATGTCGAAGACGACGAGCGCACCCACGGCCTCTCTGTAGTACACACGGGTCATGTTGCCATATCGTTCCTGCCCTTTTTAAAGAAAACAGAAGACAAACCCAGGCCAACGTTAATTTACAGAAGAGACTTTTTAAAAAAATTTTTAAAGCAGAGACAAAGCAGAAAAAAAGGAGAGAAGAACGGGAGCAATGGTGAACAGACAACAGCTGCTTCTGTAAGAAAGCACACAGCGCCAAAAAAGACAAAACAGAGGGAGGTACTTAAACAAATATACAATTTTGCTATGTGTTCGCAGCATATGATAGGATATGAGTGACTGTGTGTTTGCCACAGACCATACTTGAAAAATGAGTTTGAGAGATCGCAATGTTACAGACCCGGACCTAGCAGAGAGGTAGAAAGTGAGTAAAACTAGAGGGGAGAAATGTGACACGAGCCAGAGACAGTGCTTATCAATGCTTATCCCTAAAAGCCTCAGTCTCTAAGTTTTACGTAGAATTGAAAGGCAGTCTGCGCTGCCACGCAGCGCCGCCTACCTACCTCTGGGTAGTGCTCCTGCCTCCAAAGATCCTACATGTACGGTGATGTGTGGTGAGATGTAATGACTATGGTGTCATTAAAAAGGGAGAAACAGATGACCGCACACCACACCCAGCAAAGCCACTTGAATGGTCCAACCAGTCCTATTTGTGTGAGTGATGTGTTGTCAGAGGAAGCGCGGGAAGGAGAGGACTAGGCCTGGAAGGAGAGAGCCAGCAAAGCACCCCCCATTTCGAGGAGGCGAGGAACAGCGGATCCGGGACCCATGTTGACTGGAACCCCACACAGAAGGCAGCACCCGTCTTCCCCACTAAGAGTAGTCCCACTGGATTTCTCAAAGCCCAGCACGAGCACCTCACTCAACCAACAATGAAGACAAAAAAAGCACAACAGACCAGCCAGAGTCTGAGATACGCCACAGCACCAACCCACCCAAGCCATCTAAAGTGATGATAGCACATCAGTTTCTGAAGGTCACACCATTAATACTAAAACTGGTCACTTTTCATAATAATAACTAACATCTTTGTCAGTATCAAACATTTAGCCCTAGTTTCACAGCACAATAACACACTTTTTCTTTTTTTTGGTATACAGGAACTGCATATGTTCTTCTCACTGCTGACAGACACACACACACTTGTTAAAAAAATGTTGCAAATGAGAGAAGCATGTGTGTGAACATTTAAGTCTCTATCCTGGAAACTAACTTGCTCCACATGATCCCAATATACCGGTGAATCAGCAGTGGAGCATCTGACACACAGACACACAACCCTGCGCATGCACCCAAACACCGAGCACACAAACTGTCTCCTAAAAGCAGATGGTACCTTTTCCTTTTTTTCTGCACACCATCTGATCAGTACTAATAGTATGAGGTCAAAGGTCAACACCACCAATGACCA